CGACAAGATCATAACCTGTTTTCAATGACTTCGTACCTTTTTAAATGTTTCAATTACCTATAATAAATTGCTGTAAGTGTTTCTCGAGCGAGTTCGATGTGCAAGAACGCCTCTTGTCCAGCATCAATCATCGACAAAGGAACGTCTTCTCAGCATTCCAACAGAAAGTCGGTTGAGAAAGGTGGTGGTAGTGAGAAAAAAGCAAGAAATCAAGAACTGAACTGGTGTCCGAAGCGTTGCAGATCCAAATCGCCTCGGTTTGACGGCCGATTAGGCATCGCTGCCAGTTGTAAAGCACGAATCTACACTAGCCTTGCCTGTGTATTTTCCTGAATGAGGCTTGATAGGGAAGTGTCCGTTGGAAAGTTGCTCCTCGATGGCAAATGCTGGCACCTTCTCGGCTCCATAGTAACGGTTTTCATACATTATGAGCACGGAACAGGATGAAAAAAAGAAAGAAAAATCAAAATCTCTGCCTAGTTCATAAGATGATACAGGACTTGAGTAGGTCCTCTTCCAACGTTTTCAGAATGTCATGCTCCAGAACAGAGGAGGGCGTAAGGAAGATTCTGCTCGCGCGGCCCAAAACCAACCTGCGTGCTAGGAGCTTTACTTTAGAGCGGGTAGTCGTTACTTGCAGCTAGCTAAGAATATACCATCTGACTTATCGCTAGCTCAGTTCAAGCATCGGGTGGAAAAAATCTTGCTGAGATATGAAGTAATCTAGCGTCTTATGAGACTGATTATCATGAGTTTCAAGTGGTGCCTGAAATTTTATTGATATTTTCTGTTCTTGTTGAAGTTTCGTGTTCGATTTAGCTTATTGTTGTATTATTCGATTTTGTTTACTTATCAAGTTATGCATTGTTTCTAACGTTTGCCTTAAGCGGACGTAATAAACATAAACATAAAGCAAACGAAAAGGTTCTGTAAATGAAGTCATCAAATCTAGCATCGACCACGTCCTGGATGGAAACCCACCCAAACTTACTCAGGTCTTCATTCTGTGGGGTCGGTCAGAGACAACTTCGTAAGGGGCAGAATGACAGCAGCGAGTTGTTCATCGATTTGGTCCCCACAGTTGCTCCCTGTAATCAGCTGTATGAGCCAAATCACTTTCAAGTGTCACTACGTTTTTAGGGGGAGTCGGGCGCGTGGCGCATACCAAAGCAGCTCGAACGATCAATTGATCCTCCATCCCATCCCGATAACCGAAAATGTAAATTGTGAGAAACAGCTGATTACTGACATCTTCCATGTCAATTATAACTGGAAAGACCGACCATGAGGAAAATGCG